GGCAAGAGATTAAAGGGAAGCTTTAGGATAACTAGCTACGGGCCAGCAACGTATCAACGACCCCGTGAATAAATAAATGTCCCACCCTCAAGGTAAATTTTTCCACGACGGTCCATGGCGCCCCTCTCGCTGAAGATTTACGACGCTAATCTACGAGCACGAGACCCACCGTCCGTAATATTCCGTTCGCGATCGTTCTCCTCTCTAATAATCCAATATCACGGCGACCAGGCTTTTGCTCTCGCTGTCCGACCCGCGCACACACGCTCGAGACTCTTTCGTTTCGTTTGGCTTGGCCAATGGCTGGCCACGAGACACATTCTGCCCGCCAGGAATTACGAGGCCTGATTGGAGGCCAAAGTCGACCCGCAGCAAGCTCGTTGGATGATCTTTATACTATATCTTCGCGTGAGGTTTTTGTCGAAGGCTCAAATCTAACTGACCATCCTCGCGCGAGATGTAAATAAGAAAAAAAAAAGAAGAAAAACGCGAAAAATATTGTCTTTCGAATCGACTAAGAAATATAAATTTTCGTAATTAATTAATTCGCCACGAGGCTGTTCTATGACAAATTGAACGCCAAGTTCAGTCCTCGAGTCGAGACTGATGCGGCGCGGAATCTTAGCAAGCGTTCCGCGATCTTACACGCTCGTCTTCTTCAATCTTCGTTGCTCATCGAGCCAACAGCCGCGTGATTTCACACTCAGCCGCGATGAACGTTTCTCCTTTCCATGCCCCCGTGCGTTAACGAGCCCGTGGAAAAACCTCTGCACGTGTAGGCGGATCGTGTCTAGTTGGGAACGGTGCTCGCAAGTTGAACGAACGTGACTAAAAACTCGAACAGAGAAACGTTCCTGCGAAACGTTTGGTTGCTATCTCTAACAGACTTCATCTAACTCCCTTCGTGCTCTACCGGAGCACACACACACACACACACACACACACGGTGTCCGCCGGTGTACAATCGATAAAATTAATCAGAACTCCCATCGGCAGCTCAATTTAGTTGGACACATTGTAAAAACGTCTCCGGATCGCGCATGTTGGGTCTATCATACCCGTTGTCTCGTCTGTCCGTCCCGTTTCATTTTTCAACAGGAGGGAAGGAGCAGGGCGGCAAATACAGTGGGTGTCCCGATGACTGTTAGCACAATCGAGCGATTCCGGAGCGTAAAAAAGTAGGTCGAAAGTGTAGAATCCAATTTTTCCACGGGGGAGCCTCGCTTTCGAGCGACGGAATTATATTTATCATTCACTTGTCAGAAAAATAAATCGGAAGTGTGGAGTTCCCCGTTTAATGGAGAGGGCTTTTATTCCCGTGATCTCGTGCAGAGAGAAATAGGTCGAAAACGTAGAACCCAACATGTTTTTTCCTTTTCTTTCGTCAATTTATGACATAATACTATTGAAAGTTTAGAGTGGTCAACTCACGATAGAAGCGAATGATGAAATTGAATTAAACTGATAACTGAATTCTCAAACTAAAAGTTTAATAATACTAGTCAAATTTCTTTCGAATTCAATTTTTCTCTATTAACTTATACTATTGAAGTTTAAGAGGCTCGATTTGAAACAAACTAATAGTTAGAAATTCGATTAATTTCTAAAATTAAAAGCTCAATAATGTCAATCGAATTTCTCTAGAATCCAATTGTTTTCTCTTCTTTTTTTTCAGTTAATTTATTACTGAATACTACTAAAGTATTCTAAAGTATTTTAGTGTTGAAATATAGGTTAGGGTATTCGATTTTATTTGTACTTTACGTTCTGCGCGACAGAGGTTAGTGACGAAATTTAATTAAATTGACAATTAATTTCTAAAATTAAAACCTCCAGTCGAATTCCTTTAGAATCAAATTTCTTTCCGTTAATTAGTCGATTATTATTATTAAATACGAAGCACCAAAGTATCACTATTACTAAATACGAAATACTAAAGTACTCCAAAGTATTTTAGCAATACTAAAAAGTTAGAACGTTGGATTCCATTCTGCGCGAAATATAATTAAATTGATAATTAATTTCTAAAATTAAAACCTCCAGTCGAATTCCTTTAGAAATCAAATTTCTTTCCGTTAGTTAGTCGATTATTATTATTAAATACGAAGCACCAAAGTATCATTATTATTATTAAATACGAAATACCAAAGTATTCCAAAGTATTTTAGCAATACTAAAAAGTTAGAACGTTGGATTCCATTCTGCGCGAAATATAATTAAATTGATAATTAATTTCTAAAATTAAAACCT